TTTCCTAATAAACAATCGTGGTACAAAGCTCAATAAAAATATTACAACTAAAAAAAAAGTAGTTTTTTAAAAGTACCACTTTTCGCCGATTTTGGACTAGTTCCTTTTTGGCTATAAAGACCCAGTACGGAACTAGAAATTTGATTCACTAGTCCGCGGTTTCCCTACAGGGAGTCCTCTCGCTCCCACACATAAAATCGGGTCCTTTACTTGTGCAGAATGTTGCTTACTCTACAGTTTCTAGTGATATTAGTAGTAAAACCAAAAATTCGTCATAATAAATATTCGTAGGCATCACCTTCGTTTGCGTAATTTTCTAGAACAAGTGTAGAATAGTGACCATTTACCTATCAAATAACCAAAAATGCCGATAGATTGAACTTTTTACGCTGATTACAACGATACCAAATTTGGCGCAGGCAAAAAATAACGAAGATATAAGAGGTTTATTTGCTTTGTTTATTTGTATTTTTTATTAGGTGCGTTCGTTTAAAATCTCCAGTAAAAAACATCCAACTGCCAAATTCCGGCGAAATGTCATATGTTTTCTCACAAGAGAAAAATATCCAAAATAGTACGCGAACAGAAAATTTGCAGAAACTTGCAAGTAAGACGAACAGCTGATATAATTTTTGTTTACATTCAAAAGTGTAAAATGTAAAACCTACGAAAAGTCATCACAAAGTGTTATACTGACACAGTTTATTGATTAAACAAATAACTACTTATTTCGTACAAGCTTAGTTAGTCGCATTTTGTAAATTTTAACTTCCAAGCCATCAAATTCAATTTTGTGATTTGCGTAAATGCCAACCAGCTGTTTTTGATCAGCTGTTTTCCTGTTGGCAAATGGAAAGGTCACTTTGCTCTCTCAATTTCCCCTACTTTGCAAGTTTTTTGCGTACGCGAACGCAAAAACTTGTAAGTTTTGGTTAAACATTAACAATTAACAGCAACGCAAACGCAACTATTATCACTGAATTGTTGAAACCCAAAAGTACATCATAATAAAATATGTAATATCGAATTAAAGATAATAACTTGTACTTCCTAAATAATATAAATTTCTTTACCATTAATTATGCAGTTTTTTTTCAAAAAAGATTATTTCATGAAAAAATAACATTTGTTCGTTTTTTAGTGGTTTTGGTTTAAAAATATAAGAAGCTATAAATTATGTACACCAGCTAAAAGACAAATTAATTATCTTTATGGAGGCGTCATTAGTTTTTTTTATCGGTTATACCTACAGTTCGTAAGATATTAATATTTAAAAAATTTTAAAACTGAACTTTAACCTTCTAGAACGTCTTGATTTTTTTACTTGCGCCAAATAATTTTGGCATGGTTGAAATGAGCATAAAAAGTGCTATTGCTCTGCAGTTTTTGTTTTTGCATAGCTGAACGGTCGGTTCCAGGAAATGATGAATAACTTAAATCAAAAATGCACATATTTATATATTGTTTAGTATTTCCATCAAAACACCAAATATATTACAAAATCGCATAGAATAAATAATACACATTTTACTTCTAATTGTATACTTTGCGTACTTTTTGTAGTACCTTTCGCCTACCGTTTTCGCAAAAGGCGATCGCATTCTTCCCCTTTCTCCTACTTCCAAAATACAAATCTAGATAAAGGAGTGTCAAATTTGAGCCGCCACAAATTACACAACCTTGTATTATTGAATCATGATTTTACTTCATACAAAATAAAAAATACAGTATTTGTTCTTACGACTTTAAAACGAAACATTCGCAAAACAAAAACGATCATTATAACATATTCACTTTTTTTTTTACTGAGGAAAACAAACGATATTAAAGAAATAGCGTCAAAAATGCGTATTTTAAAAACTAAAATGAAACATTTTAGAATATTGTCCCAACAAGTTGTAGTGCGAGAAAATTTTCAACAAGCAAAATAAAACTAGACATTTTTAAAATAAAAACGTTAATTTATTTTCAGTCAATTGGGTATGAAAAATATTTAAAACTAAAATGTTTTGCATTCGAATTTAAAAAGCTACCTAGCTATAATGAAAAACTTTCATATGTTTGTATCACTTGTCGGAAAAATTGTGTTCAGATTAATAAGTTACTTCAATCTTCAGAAAAGGCGATGAAGTATATACAAATAATACTGCCATTCTAACCCCTAACTACTTATAAGGGACATTGGTGGACTACATTGATTGAAAAAAGCTTTGGTAAGAGTAACTTACAAAAACAAATTCTTATGAGTTATTAAATAATAATTTAAAACTTTCTTAATTTAAATTACAGGATTTTACCAGCGTGAAGCAAAATTAGCAGGCCCAGCTTGGAAGTAAGGCAGGAACATATGTATGTATGTATTTATGTATGCATACGGTAATATGTAAAACATCTGTATTTCATTTATTAAATGTTGTAACTTATTTATAAGTATATGTATATCAATATATTTTTGACAATGTGTGTACCAAACGACTTGTGATTTAATAAAAATAAAATTTGAATATCATATTTGAAAACGCATATGGGCAAATCTAAAAAACAGGTAACCTTGGTGTTGCTTAGCTTTATTTTCACTGTTGGAAACTATATCAAGCTGGTTGCTTTTGGATATAATTCATTGACGTATACTTGAAGCCTCAAAAAAAATTTGGATTAATCTGCTGCATAACTTTTGAATTATAGGTGTTTAAATAAAAAATAATAATGAAAACAAGTGAATTTTTTATGTAATTTTTAAGAGGTGAAAAATTAATTATGTCATAACTTTTGAAGTACACCATATAC